CGCACACAGCCATGCTAACCGGGTGGGGAAGCCAGGCAACAGGCACCCCAACGAGACAACACAAAGTGAACGCTCATTACACATTCCTGACCCAAACAGTAGCCCCTCCAGTTAAGACAAAGAACTGGCTGTAAAGCGGCTGCCCACTGCAGACCCCTCAACAGAACAGGCCTCACTGGGAGGAGGATGTCAAAACTAGCAGAACGCTTAAGGAGCCAACCATCTCTCGCGCTGCCTGCTGGGAGACAGCAGTGGCAAGGATTGTTTCATTGATCCATCAAACCCCTTGCAGTGACCACACTCCAACAACAGATTTAGTTCCCTTAAGAGGGTTGCAAAGGCAAGACTTGCACAATATGGCCAAGGACAATCTTAGTTCCTTGTTTTCATTTAAGCAACTGTCTCATCGCCAATGACTGTCAAAATCCCGTTTACTAGAACTTTGATGAGTCAGTCCAATTGAGAAGGCAGAAGACCAACCAGATTTGCAAATTCAGACCCTTAAACTGATATATTTCCATAATTCTGAGTATACAGACTGGGACTGTCACTGCACACTCTCTTTCCCAAAGGAATTTTACTCCAGTAACAGCTACACAATGGGGAAAAATTCAACAGGGGCATTTCCCAACATGGAGACAGAGTTCAAAACAAAAATTGCTGCCTACCACAGATAACTGTCAAGGACACTGGTCTTCTTCTGGCAGGAAAAAGTGACAAACATGGACTGAAAAAATCCAGGGACCAGATGCTTATTAGTACGGCATTTTGCAAATATCAAAGTAATTTTGTTGAAGTACGCCATTACACATGTAGATACATTTGCTGCAACCTGTAAAGGGGGAAGCCCACACATTTACAACTAAACCCATTTAAACACACATGCAACTAAGACTTCCCATGCTATGGCATCCTATATGGGTACCAACTACAAATATACTGTATCTATATATAGCTTTCCACTTCCAGGAAATCAAGAGACATGACCCCATTCTTTATCCATGGGTTAGCATACCTGTGAAAGGGGATGATTGAAGAGGGCTTTTCTGTTTGCCAAACACCATTCTTACGAGTATAGTCAAATGGTAGGATCAAACTCCCCTTCTTGATCTATCTTTTCTTCTTTAGGTTTCAAACAGATCTCTTGCTTCATACCAACACCTCAGTGCCAATTAAAACTGCCGTGACTATATTATCTCTTTCACCTCCACACTATTTAGGATATAAACTAATTGCTTCCAACTGCAAGTGATGTACCTCCCAGCAGTAATTGTCAAAAGGTATTGCAGATAAATCGTTAAGACTGGCCCAGAATATTGTGCTGCTCGAAGAAAAAGGTATGGCCCCTCGCTCCAACCATTTACAGAAGCCAACAGACAAGGAAATTAAATCTCATCCCAACCCTGGAAACAAGACTTTTTTCCCCACCATACCCAAGGGTAAGAGGCTAGTGTCGAGGTGCCAGATAACAGCAAACATAACTTTGGCATCCAAGTGGGGATAGAAAGAACTGGTACAGAGTAGCCACTGATGCCTCTCAGCATCCGCTACCCAAGTGGCTGCCCCACTCTGCCAAATTGTAGGGTCAACCCTCAGTGGTTGTCCAAGGTATATAATACAGACAATATTAATTAATTAATTAGATTTTTATACCACCCATCTGGCAGCCAAGGCCACTCTGGGCAGTTTACAACAATATAAACAGCAACAATGAAACAATAGAACACAAGACGACTCTCAGCTTTAACTGAGTGGCCAGTAACTTTTCGATATTCCCGAAAGAGAACAGACCCAGTGAACAAAATGGTGGCATGGTAAAAAAATCCTGTTAAAGTCAACTGGTCTACTCTAGCTGCAACAGGATATAGGTCAAATATTACAAGACCATAAAAACAAAACAACAGTGTATAGCTTATCTTCACCAAATCTGCCTCCTAAGCACACACAATAATTAAGTAACAGCCAAAGTCTGTGTTAATAGAGGTCTAAAAGCAGGTAATATGTGATCGATTATTACAAGAAACAGCAAACTCTCTTCTCATCTGGTATCATTTGATGATCTGCTTGTTTCTTCTCATGCTATAGGATGGAACATTATGTCCCACTGCCCGAGCATTATGCTTTTTGATGTCACGTTTCAGGCTTCTCTTCCACTATTGTTGTTTAGTCGTTAAGTCGTGTCCGACACTTCGTGGCCCCATGGACCACAGCACGCCAGGCCCTCCTATCTTCCACTGCCTCCCAGAGTTGGGTCAAATTCATGTTGGTCGCTTCAATGACACTGTCCATCTATCTTGTCCTCTGACATCCCCTTCTCCTCATGCCTTCACACATTCCCAACATCAGGGTCTTTTCCATGGAGTCTTCTCATGAGATGACCAAAGTATTGGAGACTCAGCTTCAGGATCTGTCTTTCCAGCGAGCACTCAGGGTTGATTTCCTACAAAACGGATTTGTTTTCTTTGCAGTCCAGGGAACTCCCAAGAGTCTCCTCCAGCACCACAGTTCAAATGCATCAATTCTTTGGCAGTCTTTCCTCCCAAGAAGCAGGCATCTTTTAATTTTGTGGCTGCTATCACCATCTGCAGTGATCATGGAGCCCAAGAAAGTAAAACCTGTCACTGCCTCCATATCTTCCCCTTCTATTTGCCAGGAGGTGATGGGACCAGTGGCCATGATGTTAGTTTTTTTAATGTTCAGCTTCAGACCATTTTTGAGCTCTCCTCTTTCACCTTCATTACGAGATTCTTTAATTCCTCCTCACTTTCTGCCAACAGAGTGGTATCATCTGCATATCAGAAGTTGTTGATATTTGTATTCTTGAAGGATTTCACGGCCGGGATCTAATGGTTGTTGTGGGTTTTTTGGGCTTTGGCCATGTTCTGAAGGTTGTTCTTCCTAACATTTCGCCAGTCTCTGTGGACGGCATCTTCAGAGGGCAGCACTCTGTGCTCTGATCACAGTGCTGTCCTCTGAAGATGCCGGCCACAGAGACTGGCAAAACATTAGGAAGAACAACCTGCAGAACACGGTCAAAGAGCCTGAAAAACCCACAACAACCACTGTTGATATTTCTTCCAGCAATCTTAATTCCGGCTTGGAATTCCTCCAGTCCAGCCTTCTGCATGATGTACTCTACATATACCTAAGTTAAATAAGCAGGAGGACAATATACAGCCTTGTCATACTCCTTTCCCAATTTTGAACGAATCAGTTTTTCCATATCCAGTTCTAACTGTTGCTTCCTGTCCCACATATAGGTTTCTCAGAAGATAGATAAGGTGGTCAGGCACTCCCATTTCTTTAAGAACTTGCCATAGTTTGTTGTGGTCCACACAGTCAAAGGCGTTTGCATAGTCAATGAAGCAGAAGTAGATGTTTTTCTGAACTTGCTGGCTTTCCATAATCCAGCGCATGTTAGCAATTTGGTCTCTAGTTCTTCTGCCCCTTCGAAATCCAGCTTGTACTTCTGCGAGTTCTCAGTCCACATTCTGCTGAAGCCTACCTTGTATGATTTTGAGCATAACCTTGCTAGTGTATGAAATGAGTGTTCTTCCACTATATCCAATAATAAATGTGCACAGCACAGCTGGCCAGGATTAAAGCTGCAAACCATGGCTATATTCATATGACACATACAGTTCACACATATACATGCAAATACTGTATAGAGTACACAGTCCCCAGGAGAATAAGAGCAGAGCAAAACATCCTCCACCTTTTCTCTGACTTTATTAAGACTATCTGCCAACCGGATGTAACAGAAGCAAGAACTACTGTACATTGTTACTGCCACTTACTTCCTCTGGGTACAACCACAAGCTTATTCATTCTGGATTTCTCATCTCACCCCCCTCCTTATTTTTTTGCAAAATGGGGGAGAGTAACATCAGACTAGGCATTACATACTTTGGGGTATCTAGCTCTAAAGAAAGTGATGCATAACACAACCAGAGCCCAATATTTGCTTTTGTTAAGAACACGCTGCAAAAGCCATAAAATCATATAACAGGAAGTTACGCTGCCTGGTTAACAACATTTGCAGGCTCTTGCTCTGAAAGGTGGTGGTGGGGAGGAGGCCCATTGCAGTCCTGCCAGCTAGTGATCAGAAGAATTGCATCCATCTGTCTCTGTCAGATAGAAGAGTCTTGCCAGATTCAGTGCAACGTCTTTAGGACTGGACCTCCTAGTTAATCATTTCTTTGCAAGCTTTCAAGAGCACTATCTTTGCCCTCCCAGCAAGTGTGCTATATATGCCACGTTTAAGCAGTGTTTCAGTTCTACTTCTGAGGTTCTCCCCACATCCCTCCTTTAATTACAGGCTTCAAACAACCCTTTACAAAAGGGGGGGGGGGCTTCCAAAACGACTGTGCTGTATCACAAATACAACTACAGTAGTAACATATCATTCCAGTCAGACAGTTGGGGCTTAGAAATGCTAAAGGGCCTGATCTTAAAACTCATGACAGTCAGTCTGAACAGAATTAGTAGGTTCAGTCTCCTACTCTAGGGGGTAGTGGGATGAAAGATCTGAGAACAATTTATTCCACAGCATGTGGGTTAAAATAATAACACGTGCTTTATTATATAGATAGATAAAACTTTATTACGGTCAAAAGACCAGCCACCGTGCTTTATTCAGATTTGAAACCGTTCCAATGTCCCAAGCTGAAAAAACTAAAATGAATTTCACATTTCTAATGATCACAAGGCTTTTTTTTGTTGTTAAAATAGTTTTCCATCTTGTTTTACAGCAATCCTGCAAGCTGCTCAAGAGCTGCTAGACTGGATCAGGCACGACTGAACGCCAAACAAATGACATATACAGTATATATTCCTTCTGGAATATATATTTCGGGTATTAAAACATGCCCTCTATGCGCACCCCCATTATCTCGTTTTTGCACATGCATCAAACAGCACGTGTTCCTGCTGGCAAAGCTCCTGACTTCGTGGAAGCCAGAGAACGGGGCGGGGAGGGGGGGAAACGGCGGCATTACCGGTGGCCGTTCCAGAGCAGGCCTCTGCGTTGTGGTCTCCAACCGGGCCGGCTGCGGAGTGGCGAAGAGGAGCAGCTCGGTGTCGTTCTCTCCTTCGGGCGCGGGCAGCGGGTCTGGCGTGGAAATGATCACGATCTGCTGTTCCATCACATGGATGGCCTCCGCTCCCCTCAAGAGGGCTTCCAGATCTGCCACATTCTGGGTGACTTCCAGACCCTCCAGAGACATGATACAAAAAGTGGGGACTCACATGCCCGAGAACTTGGGCGAGGAGAGTTGGGGGGGGAGGGAGGGGAGAGAGCCTTGATCTTGCCCCCTCCGCCTTCTCCTCCTCCCCTCGCCGCCCCCACCCCCGCACAGCAGGAAACCC